AAAGGCTGAACAAACTATGATCTTAAAGCTATCAAGAATCATAGTTGGATTAGCTTAGATCCAACCAACCTAATTCTATCTAATTGATCATTCTATCAATTATCATTAATTTCTAATACTGATTTTATTGGCTTGGCTTGGCTTTGTTTTCCTTGCTAATTGTTCTGAGCCCCAATTTGATGTGGGGAAATGGGGTATAGATGCAAAACTTAATTGTTCAGGCATGATCTCAGTACTGAAGCTATCCGTTTCTGTATCACAGATGGAGTACGGTATTTTACTCCTCCATTGCTCCTCTTCTGCTCCTTGCCTAGATCCATATAAAGCAGAATGCATCCGCCAGAAAATTCACTGCCACCCAAAAGCGATCTGTCAACTCGATGGGCTGTCTTCTGAGTTTTATTGCCGTTGCTTGCCAGGCTACGACGGTGACGGGATCAATCTTTGCCGAGGCAAGTCATACTCCTGTCTTCATTTCATAGATTCTCTTGGGCAACCTTAGCCGCTTCCAGGCGTGCGGACTTCAACTTCCAGCATTCTCATCAATGGCCATGCTGGCTATGGAATTCTGGGATTTGAAGCCCATCACACTGTGGAAGTATGATAGCTGGGAATTCAGGGAGCTTGCTCTGGACTTGTGGGGAAGGAAAGAAAAACAATTTTTGGCATCTCTGTACTCTTTTAGGGCTTTTAAAGTAGCCAAGCTGTTTGGGACTGGGGGAAGCAAGGGATGTTGTCACCCTCGAGAGCAACTGCTTGATATTATTAATATCATTAACACGAACCACTCTCTTCACAAGACAGTTTGGTGAAGAACAGGGTAGAAAAGGAATAAAATATACCTGGTGTGCTGAAAATTGTCAGAGGTTTTTTTTGTTGTTGGCTTTTTTAAAGAATCCAAAATTCACCTTGCTATCGGTTTGCAGCCCCCACTTTCCACATCACCGTTTCTGATGCTTCTGTTTGTGACGAGTTTGGCGAGCAGGTTTGTCTTCTCCACGTGAAAGAGCCGAGTGTCACTTTCCACATCTCCGTCTCGGCTTCCGCCACCCGCCGTTTGCCCACCGTGAGGTGGTACAAGTTCTATACCGGTCAGAGCCCGCAGTTCCACAGGTAAGGTGGCTGTGAGACGGCGGAGAAAATTTTCCTGCTTGCTTTCCCCGTTCAGCTTGACAGAAGAGAATTTGCTTTACGGGATGAGTATGGAGGCTTGCTGGAATGCAGATATTCCCCAGGAAATTCTCACGCTTCCTGGAAATCATCAGAAACACAGAAGCTGAAATTAATCTCTGAAAACCCCAAACGACTGGAGAGAGAGGTGGGGACGTTGCCCACATTTTCTTTCTTTCTTTATTATGCATTTCTTTAAAAAAAAAAGTTAAAGTTGCACATCTGGGGAAGGTATTCCATAAAAGGGGTGCCACCGCCAAAAAGGCTCTCCCTTGTAGAGACCCATCTCACTGCCCTTGGTGGAGGGACCTGGAGGAAGAGCTTAAGGTCTGAGCAGGTACATACGGGAGAAGCCACTCCTTCAGGTAACCTGGTTCCATTGCTATATCTCCACCCATTCGGCCTAATCTCAGCTATATTATCACCAAACCTTGCTAATACATTTTCCTGATGATGGGGGCGGGGGAAGAAAAATCATATTTTCTTTCTCCAAATAAATTCAGCTGGGCTAAAAAGCAAAAGAACAGCTCAACCCGAAATGGAAAAGAACAGAGAACCTCTATATGGAGCTCTTCCTACTCCTAAGCTCTTTGGTGTAGCACTTCAGGGTGAAATACTGGTGGTCTACATGGAATCTTGTTCGGTGCCAGATTTCTCCCCACCCCATTTCCTCCTCTTTCCCCTTAATTTCTTTTTATAGAGCTGAGATAGGATGGGTTAGGACAGTATCGTGCTACTCTCTTTGGGGCTGCCCTTGGAGACGAAATAAAATTCTTGGGGGGGCCTAGAGAGTGCAATCACCCCATATCCCCGACTTCCTCTGAGGAACAACAAAGGTATTTAAAAAAAAAAAGGGAAATAGTCAGTGATGGGCATCTTTAGTTCCCATCTCTGAACCATCGCTTTCCCACCAACTATCGTGTTTCTCCTTTGCAGCTATCGACAACGGTTGGGATCTGTTGGAAACAGGACTCTGAGGATCATGGTGGGCAACCACGGGCGCATCCTGACACTCCTCTCCATACAGGACGATGATTTTTACCCCAACCTTTTCTGGGCAGAAGTGAGGCTCCATGCCCTGATCCCCAAAGCTGTTGAAGTTGAAGCTTACGAGTTAACCCACTTTCAAATGTTAAATCCTTCCGGCCTGAGGTTCTATTTTGCCCTTGAGGGGGCATCAATAGGTAAGATTCACCCTTCATTGATGGTCCCCAATCTTCCAAGATTAGATGGGCTTCTGGAGAACAGGAAATTCCCGGGCTAGGCTGTAATACCAAACACCTTCTCTAGGTTGCCAAATGCTCTTGGTTGCGGAGCCTCCAAAATATCGTTTAAAACCACATAAATTTGAAGGGGGGCGTAATGAAACCCCCCTCTCTAAAACCAACCGATTCCATAGCATGGCTGGTGGGTACAGAATGGAATATCCATGAAGAGAGCAGGATGGGCTGCCTGAATCCATGCAAGGTTTGAGCGGATCTGCTTGATTAAAAAAAAGATGCCCCTCGTTGCATTTGGAAAGGGGACCCAAGCGGGAATACTGGGAACGTTGACCAAATTTGGCCTGTCTCTTTACCTGTCAAATGATTGGCAGAACGTGGGATATTTTGGCAGAGATCACGAAAAGCCGAACAGCAAAGCCATCCAGATTTTTACAAGCGTGAGAACGAAATAACACCTTCCTTCCCGCCCCCCCCGTCTTTCCCATCTCTTCTTACCTGATTCATTTCCAAAAGGGAGTTCTCCAGTTTCCTTTCCCTGACATGTTTCTGATCAATGCAGCTGAACTTTGAGAAGTTTCTCAGTTGCTTCTCTCTTCTCTCCCCCCCCCTTTTTTTGGAAAGAGGTTGGACCCTTTTTGGAAGGAGATACAGCGGTCCTCCGGTTGCCCGAGTACCTGGACCTCTCACCTTCCAGCTTCGTTCAGTGGATCAAGGAACCGCGCCCGCTGACGTTGCTGGACAGCCAAGCTGTGGTCCTCGCCAACGATGTAGAGGAGATGGAGATCAGCAGTTTAACGTAGGCTGGCTGGCTTGTTGGCTGGGGACACTTTCTGCCGGTCAAGCAAGAGCTGGGTTGGCGTGTAGCAGCAAAAAGGCAGAAGAAAATCCACCTGCCCTCCTGAATTTAACCTACCCCTTCCAGCTTCTCCAGCTACTATTTCTAGAACAGTGTTCCTCAACCTTGGCCACTTTAAGATGTGTGGGCTTCAACTCCCAGAATTCCTCAGCCAGCCATTGAGTTGAAGTCCACACATCTTAAAGTGGCCAAGGTTGAGGAACACTGCTCTAGAAGAAATGCAGATCCAAAATAAAAGGGAAGCTTTCATTTCTCTTGCTGTTTAGATAGAAAGGAACTCCTTTCTGCATGCTTTGGGGAATTTTCTGCACCCTTTTTCTCTCTTCCTCTCAGAATGGGGCATTTTACATTGTTTTCTTCTCTTTCCATCCCGCAGGGAGTCCAGTTTTGGCCACGTCCGAGCCCTAGTCTATGATTTTAACTCTGAGGTTCCTGGGCGCGTCTTGGTGGCTGAGAGGCTGTTCTTAATAAAAAAAGGTACTGGATTTCCTTTGGCTCTGCTTATTAATAAACAGCATCATCATTTTTATTTATTATTAAATTTGTATGCCTGCCTGACTCCCAACAGCTCTTTACAAACTCATTACAAAGATCTGTACTGCTTATATCCTGCTTTTTCTGTTCAAAA